ATATATATATAATGGAAATTCAATATATATTTAAATAATTCATTACCTTATCATAATAACTAAATTTTTTATTTTAAAAATTGAAATTTTACATTACGCATTGTATAAAAATATCAGTTGTTTTGTTGTTATAAACTCAGCCTACTTTATTTTCTTTAATTTTTTAAAAATAATACAACAATATTAAAATAAAGTATTAATTTTTTAAGATCTCAACACAAATCACGGTGATTTTTTTTCAAAAAAAATTTGATTTGTTTGATTATAAAATATTTTTACAACACAAATTTATATTTGGTCAAAACTTTTCTTTTTTTATTTTGACAAGAATTTCTCTTAATTTTTTTTTTAAAAAGAGATTATTCAATTGTTGAGATTACAATCATATTTTATAAGTTTAACACAATATAACAACTTTTTTTAAGTAACTTTGAAAACTTTCTTAATTTATAAATACATAATAAATATTTTACAATTATTTTATTATATAATTTAATAAAATAATTTTTCATTAATTTTAATTTTCCTAAAGTATATCATCATATTCATTTATTTGTAAACAGCGCAATGTGCAAGTCAATATTTAGTTGATTCTAATTTCATAAACTTGAACTTATCAAAAATCCCTTTAGATCAGGCCAAATTGGTGGAACATGATGCCATTTTAAATGATGAACTTTTGTTATAATCATCTCTTGGGATGATTTTGAATGTTCTATCTGTTTTTATTTTGAAGTGGTACTTGTTGCAAAGTGTTATTAGACGTTAGTTACATTTTTATTGATTAAACTCTATGGTCATTCCCTTATTAATTTTGTTTCATCTGTCTCATGATGTGGTTACATCTTAGGCCACAGAAGATGGTAAATACTGTTTGGTTTTGGATTTTGAGGCCAAGGCTCTGCAGTTGTCACGTTTTGAACAAAGGTATTCAGCTTTCTTTCTTGAAGCATAATTTAAATTTTGTATTCATGTTTTTTAGACATGTTCATGAAGATGATGGGACTCTGAATTTGGATAACAAAAAAAAAATGCTAGAAACTGGAAAACTTATGTTATCTTTTATTTGTAATGGGGTTTAAAAGAATTCAGATAAGAGAAAATCAGGGTAAAAGAATTAAAAGACAGAAATACCAAAAACAAAACCTCATTTCATCTGTATTTTAATTATATATAAAAAAAAGGTTCAATTAACAATCCTTGTACCAAAAAAGTTTGCAATGATATGAATTTTTCAGTTCAAATCTTAAGCATCTCACCAAAGCACCAAATGCCTACAAACAAAAAAAATTCTTCAAAATCCTACCCCAATTTTTTTATATTGGATTTTGATTAGACATATAAAATTACATGACTATAAAGGATGTTCATAACCTGTACTATCTCATTAACTCGTCCAGTGCCAAATTAATTTTGACATATTCAGGTTTTAGAAATTAGACTTAAGTTTTGAGAGTGGTTTGAATTATATTTCCCACTTGTCTCAGTTTGGATTAATGTCCTATATTCTTTTGAAATTTATATAATTCTTAATAATTATGTAAATAATAATTAATAAAATTTATATGGATATTATTTGTCTTGAAATATATACCATCAATAAGCCTTAATTTTGTTTTATACTTTTAATTCTATAATTTAGTTGTACATAATTTTAAGATTGATATACTTTATCAACAAATGAGGTTGATCCAGTCATGTACAATTTATTAATGAGTTAAGTTCAAATAAATAATTTAATCAAAATTTTGAGTTGGGTATTGAGTAAGATAAACTAGTCCCAACCCATTGACTATGATTTATAAAGTCCAAAGTTGCATAGAAGTTAAAACAAATCTCAAGAGATAAAATGTGTTCTCATAACAGGTTATCCCAATGTATAACTGCATTGTAGCATTGTAGACATAAAAAGCTTTAACCTTAGAGGAATTTAATTAATTCAATACCTCTGGAGTTGTAATATCAAAGATATTGGTGCTAACAATTTTTCAATCTTCAATTTTGTGTTTAGGCCAAATTTGTTTCATTCTTTGGGCCAGGAATTACAGCTGAAGTTGGGGGTTTTGATGTTTGGTTGCATGGTAAATCCCTAATAATAATTAAAAGGCTCAGAATGTGTATGAAATGATTGAATGCATTCTGACATAATATTTGATTGCAGGTAAGGGCCAAAAAGATTTATATGATATCAGATTATCTCTAATACAGTTCCCAATGGCAATGTTTATCCTTCATGAAGTTGTAGACCATTTTATCCTCTTCCATGTTGCATGGTTTTAGTCAATCACTGGACTTGTGTCCTGTAAGATATGTAAAAATATTGCTATGCTCAAAAGAAAAAATAGAATAAAATATCAAGTTATTCTATTAAGTGTAAATTTTGATATAGAATAAAATAAAAAGAAAAATGTCATTTGATTTTGGTTCCTAAATTTGTTTTCCATTAACAAGAAATTGTAACACTTAATGGGAAAAATGTTAATAGGAGAAAAAGTTTACTAAAAATGAAAATTGACAAAAATTTGAAAACTAAAATTAATTAAAAAAAAATTGTTCAAGTCTAAAAAGTTAAAATTTATCAAAGTTAAAAAATTAAAAATATATTTAATCATTTTTTATCAAAATTATTGAGGATCACATTACTTATGCTATTTTACTTTTGATATACAGGAACTTATAAAACTAAAATTTGCTTGGAAACTAGTTTGAAATTATTTGAAAC